CCGCTACCCCATCGTCACCCCCCGGGAACGCTGCGGCGGGGCTCTGCCGGGCGTCAAAACCATCTTCCTCTTCCGCAACCAGACGGGATTCCCCGATGCCCTGAGCAGATACGATGCGTATTGCTTCCGAGGTAAAGAGGGGCACCCCCCGACTCTATCCCGACGATGCTCCCGGGTAGGGACCGGCGTTGAGGTTTTTTGGGAAGCCCGCGGGTGCTGCACCGGCTCCAGCACCGAGCGATGGGTACGGCAGAGCCGCAATGTCGCGCAGGGTCAGGATCAGTATCGGGATCCCCGGGCTCTCTCCGTGCTGCGCGCCGCGGTTATCGCGATAGAGCAGGGGTGCTCTGTACCGTCGCAATCGCGCGCATCAACCTCCCCTGGGATGCCTTGCATGCCCTCCGTGTTGCATGACGACATATCGTGATAGGGGCGGGATAACCTGCATGCTCCTGATACTGCATGCCGATACATCATGATAGAGGAGGGCTGTTCTACACAGTCTCAGTAGTGCATGCTGATGTGTCACGACAGAGTAGGGATGCCCTGCACGTCCTCAGTACTGCATGCCACTATATCGCGACACAACAGGGTTGTCCTGTGTGGCACCGTCGGTCTGCGTGACCTGTGCGGGCACGGCGCCGGGATGGTTCATCCCCCAGGCCTGGGGGGCATTACTGGGTCCCGACATCGCCTGCGAGGCTGATTTTGGGGCAAAATCTCACGGTGGTGAATAGGAAATGAACCACGCAGGCAGCGGCGCTGCCAGGACTGGGCTGGGAGCTGGTGGACGTGGGCGATAAACCGGGGGAGGATGAGCGAGGACGAAGGCTTGGCAGGGATAACAGGCACGGAGGGAGGGAGAGCACGGGGGGGGGGAGAGCCGCCCCTCCGCTCCTCCTTCCCTGTCCCGCATCTCTGTGCATCCCCCCGGCCCCATGGGGGATGCTCGCGGGACGGGGACGGGGGACACTCTCCCCTGGATCAACTGGATGCCGCGTAGCTCCGTGCCTCAGTTTCCCCATCTCTCGGTAGGGAACGCCATGGGTTAGACAGGATGGACCCGTCCCATGAACCCGTGATCCCCGTAACCCACTAACACCCCCCACACCTCTGTGCTCCCTGGGGTGGGGATGGGGGTGTGGAGAAGGACCCTCACCGCAGGGGGGGCGCCGGCGTGCAGCGAGGTTTAGGGTTTGCTGGAAGGGGAGGAGGAGAAGCTGGGCGAGCCGCTGTCGGGAAGGGCAGGGATGAGAAGAAAATGCTGCCGAGTGGAAAATTCGGCGCTGCCTGGACATATGCCAAAGCCTCGAGCCGTGGACG